TAATATAGGCTTGCTAGGTGTGACTGGCGATACGCTGGCGATTAAGGTCGCAGGGCGAATTTGGCAGAATTCTTCTCCAGGTTGTTTGAACCAGCGAAACAGTGCGGTGATAGAACCACGGGCATCGTAGAACCTTTTAGTAGCAGCTTCGGCGAGGGCATCGAAAATAGCATGGCGATGAATCTGGGCTTGCTCTCGCGAACCACCAGTCAAGGGCAGGTCGCCGGCTAAGTGGTTGACCGAGAAGTCAAGGCTCTGGGCATCACATCGCTGTTCTGTGTCTATGAACAATTCCAAAAGGGCGGTTGCAAGTCTCTCGGACGTGCAGCTGGTCACATTGCACAGATTGTGAGTGAGACCTCCGGAGCTCTCCAAACTAGAGGTCAGCCAAAGTGCGTACACCGCGACGGCCTGCGACCAGTCTCGTGGTGCCTGCTCTGGAGCAAATGAGCTCGCCTCAGCTGTGCTACGTTGTACACAAACACCATCTTTTGAGGGTTCCTGAAGGTTACATGCGCTTAAAATTGGATGAGTATTGACATCCAAGGCCTTCGGTTGGAATACTGAACAGTGTCTTGTAGCAGCGATGCTCTGTCTGAGGGTGTGATCAACCAGACGATCCACCACAGTCTCTAGCAACCTGGAAAGAACCAAACTATTACCAGGTGTCTCATTATCGGGTGTCGGCGTGGCCTCATCATGGAGAGTTTGGGCATCGTAATCGAAGGGCAGTAGAACAGAAAGCCGATGCTCAGCTTGGGGTAGAACTCGTGCGACGTTGGCCTCCTCATTAAAATCATTTGCTCTCACCGTGTGCAAAATCGATGATGAGAAGTCGTGGCGAGCGAGAGGTGTCGACGCATCCGGGTCAACGGGGTCCAAGGACGATTTCATGATGCTAAGGGACGAACGTACCCCCCTCCTCTGCGATATTTCGGCTTCAAATGGTATTTGGGGGGACACAGGTATTTGGGGATCTGGACCAGGACTATATTCAGGTGGAATTGAGGGTTGGCAAATGTGAAATGCACCAGGTGGTTGTGTTATCCCACCGGGCATAAATGCGACTTCTTCGACGTCGTAACCGCGTAGCAGGCTAGGATCATAGCATGATGTAGGGGAGTTGATGCCGCCCTGTTCGCCCAGCAAGGGAATGTTTGATATTGCCATTGTACCGCGATCAATGACGCGGTCTGGTTCATCGCGTCTCTGAACTACAGACTCTATGCACAATTCAACATCCTGGATGAAATCATATGAAACCAACGAGCGGGAGAAGTTCAGATGTGAATGGGCGGCGAAAAAAGACGTACTTGCATCAGCATATTGCCATAATTCCAGTCGACCAAAAGCAAATTTTGGGAGCTCGGCAGCCTCAATCCGATTATACACAGCGCGGTGGTAGTGAAGATCCACGTGAATGGTCTTGCGACGGAAATATTCAAAGAAAAATGCAGCTGGTAACACTTTCTCGCGCATGGTACATTTTTTCGCAGCCACCACGTCGGTGGGTGCCCGTATAACACCGGCTAATTCATTCGTCCGAGACGCAAACGAATCAGCGTATATGGATATTTTGTCACTGATTGAGCGATTCAGATCAAAGGAGTCCGCATGATCTTCTACAGGTCTTAAAGCGGGCATTGCGCTAGTAAAGGAATGGCTGTCGAACTTTTCATTATTATTGATCTTACCTTTACGAAGCCATGATGGCACTAGATCTAAGCATTCAATGTGATCATAGCCTAGTGAATTAAGGCATCCTGCAAGAAACGCTGCGCGACCAGGTGCATCCTTTTTTGGTGCAGGAGACTTGGGCTGCTCTTTGGCAGGCTGAACAATGCCTTCACACGCTTGGACCTCCCGTTGAAGCCCTCCTCGCATTGACTCCAAAGCAGCTCTTCGGTCCTTGGCGTCGATAGCCGCAGCTGTCTGATTCTGTTCTTTTCCATCAAGACTGCCCCCTTTTTCTAAAGATGTTCGGGGTGCCAGATGGTCTGCGGAGTTTAAATCTAAAAATTCAGTTGATTCATCAGGACAGCAAGCGGGAAATGAATTTTTCCTAAAATCTTCGCTTCTGCGTTTCTCTCTGTTCGGACATGCTACGACCGCGATCGAACGTGAGCGTGCTATATCATCTTGTATCCACTCATTTGAGCGTTGGGTAGTTCCAGAGGAATCAGGCAATAGACAGCCATTTCCACGACGCGCAAAATCTCTTCCCAGGACATCGACCTTCATGCCTGACATGTTATTTTGAGGTGTCGACAGCTGTTCAGCGACTGGACTGTCGTCGATCGAGGCAGAGTGCAGAAGAGCAATTACAAGAGGATCACGAACAAAACGTGCAGGGAGTGCAACGTCAATATCACCATCATCATACATGATATCATATGCAGAAACCCCGCCACACACACCGACTACATGACCTAGGAACCACGCACGACCCCGGCCAAATTGTGCTTCAACACGGTCGCCAACAACATGAGATACTCGTCCTGTTGCTGTCAGTCGTTCACTATTTGTTTTGGCTGGACGCAGGGTAGTGATGCCGCTAGCCCCGATTGACATGTCGCGCTCGCATTCAACCAGGCCTGGTGTATCCCGATCCATGCTGATGAAATCTGTTGATTTTGAATGTGTTGACGAACTCACCTCCGCACGTTGGTCCGCAAGCAGTACATTTGCAGAAAATAGAAGCGTTCGGTCATGGCTAGAAGCGTCGGACGGAACATTATGTGCCACATAAACTATGTCCGGGGACAGCCCATGGCCACCGAGTGGCTCATTCTGAATGGGCTGCGTCGTTATGAGAGGAAGAGTGGTTTTTGTTGAGGTCAAACCCGCAATCGACGGCG